TTCCAGACTGGACATCTTTGTGGGAGCAGGAAGTCTCATCCTTTTCCTGGGGAGCAACTGACTGGAGGTTTTGAACGGCTCTACTTACAGTTAAGCAGCCCAAAGCATAGTTCTCAATACCACCAGGGTTCTATTGAGTTTTAGGAACCTATTGTGGGGGGTTGTTGACTGCCGTGTGGGTCGATCTGTGGTCTCATACAGGGCAGTGCTTGCAGGAAAGGCATTCACCTAACTTGCATTTGAAGGTGCCTTCTTGGGGTCTGGCGAGAAGTTCAACAACTGAGCACTCAGCAGTCCACAATGGGCTCCCTAGATGACTGGCCTGTTTAAAGACAGGGGTGTGAGATTCAGAGAAGCTACGTGAATTAATTGCTCCAGGCCATCCAGCTGCTTAGTGGGGGTGGGGGTGAGGGTGGTCTGCCCTCTCTCCTATGCAGGGAGAATCCAGCTTCCAACGGACTCTATGACCTGAATGCCAAAGGCTGGGCATGCAGACCGAAGCACTGTAGCAGGCAACCCCTGGGGCAGGCCGGCTGTCTAGACACTAACGGTCTGTGTCTGCGCTGCCATTCGTCTTGGAAACCATGGTGTCATGCTAAGTGCTTTACCTTCTGTCGTCGCACGAGACTGGCTCTCCCTCTCAGGTCCCTGCCCCTCCTGCTTCCCAGAGCCTAGCTAATCCCCAAGCATTTAGAGCTGGAGTCCAGGGCCCAAACCAGGAAGGACATTTGGGAGAGAGTGCCTGATTAACATCTTGGAAAATCACGTGCACGAGTGAAATAGGCTTGTATCTCTCTGATTCAGTCATGAGCAAAAATGTTACAGAAGATGCAGAAGAGCTTTGCAAACGAGTTCTGGTTTGGGTGCCGGGGTTGGGGCTCTTGTTGTGCCCTCTCCTTTAATCCAGACAACCTCACTCGCCTTACCTTTCAAGGCAGTCTCCTGACTTGAGGCGCTGGGCCATGAGTGTTGTTCGTCTCTCATTGCCTGGTAAGAATGCTTGTGTCTGAGCCGTGGGCTTAGAAGGGAGAAGTCCTTAACGAGGGGGCTCTTGCCAATGAGAACAGATTCAACAAATCTGAGCAGGGATGCCTGCCTTGTGCTGCTCTGGGGTCATGCCGCCCGGCTCAAGAAGGGTTGGTATTGCGGGGAAAGTTAGGAGCAGGTAAGCCACCAGTGTCAAAATATCTCTGCCCCTAAGCCTGGCTCCCAGCTGCACACTCAGAGCTGCACCGATGCCAGACTGTGGGCAGCAAGAGTGTGGAGGAGAAGTTCAGGGGCACAGAGGATGGGGAGACAGCTTCCTGGCAGAGCAGTGCATTCGTTCACTGTGGAAAAGCCTTTGGCTATGTGAGGCTTGGCTACATCTGGGTCTGAGCCACAGCGATGGGTAGCGGGCACTGTACGAACCACGTGGGAATGCAGAGAGTGGACCCTCTGCCGTGGGATGCCCTGCGGTGTTCCAGCATCTCCCTTACCTGACAGAGACCACCTATGTCCTCCAGAGACCAAACTCCCCCAACCCATCACTTTCCCCCAGGCATGTACATTGTCAAAGCCCACGGGAAAGGAATCGGATTTGATGGAATGTGAGATGAGTCGTAGGGCTGCCCCCACTCAGCCGTGATCTTAAGAAGCCCCCCACCCCCACCCTCGGAGTCTTTGCCACTTCCTGACACATCCAAAGTGCCTCAGCTTTGTCTGCTTACATCTGCCTTTCCTTCTGAGCCCTCCCTTCGGACCTCCTTCTCCCTTAATACCATCTCCCTCCTGGGCTCACCAGTAAGTGCACAGGTGCAGAGCTGGGTTGATCTCGTCTTCAAATACTGCACTCCTCTGCTCTTTCACTGTTTTTTGGAGCTGGGGCTCAGACATCAGGAAGAAGAGGCTGGGCCAGCTTGGCTGGCCTCTCCTAGTCATGGTGTGAACTGCACCCAGGTGCACAGGATCTCCAAGAGACCCCGAGGACTTTGAGGGCAAGATCCCTGCCCGCTCCTGCTGTGCTTCTTTCCACACTCAGGAATTCCACAAGGTAGTTTGGGAAACTAAAGTTTCCATAGCTTGATCTGTGAGCCATCCCACCTCCCCAGAGAAGGACTGGGATCCCATGTATCGGTGGCCCTTGATTCCTTGGGTTCAAGGCTTAAAAAGCTCCTTGGGCTTAGCTGGGAGAAGCTGGCTGCCAGAGACTGGCTTCCCACCAGCATGCCCACAGCTGTCCCAGACGGTGCAGAGATGGGTCACCTAAGAGTGGATGTGATTCCGTGACAGCGAATCTTTTTCTGTCCGTTCGCCACACTTGTGAAAGGTGAATTTGAAAGGGATTTGAAGAGCGTCTCGTTTAGCTTCACCCCATTTTTTGGACCAGGAAGCTGAGGACCCAGCAATAGACTTTCAAAGTCACCCTGCAAGTTCATAAGTCTCCTGGCGCTAGTACGCTTTCTCTTGCACCACACGGCTTTGGAAAAGTTGCAGCAAGAATCAAATATTACTTCCATTGCAGAAGATGACTTTAATTGCCAAAGATGAAGTTGGAGGTCAGCCAAGGTCATCCTGGAAGCCACCAACCTATTGAGCCCGCAGCCCAGAGACGAACAAACAACATCTGTCTGGGAAGACCTGCAAGGAGGGTGCTCCTTAGGGACAAGGAGAAGGAGACTTGTCTCGACTTGTCTCGTGTACTTTGGATCTGCTGTCGGGAGACCAGTCCCTGGAAAAGGACCTCATTAGTCAAGTGGGAAACAAGTAAGGTCCTCGACGAGATGGATTGGCAGTGGCTGCAACACTGAGCAAATCATGGGAACAAGGTGGTTGGTTCTGTTGGGCACAGAGCCGCCGCGGGTCAGAACGGACTCCACAGCTCTTACCTTCCAGCAAGAACAGAGGTGGACAGTTAGGAAGGACTGGGCGAGACGGAGGTGAGGCGGAGGTGGGCTCAGGAGGAGGAGAGGGTGGAGGGAGCCGGGAGAGAAGGAAGTACTGGCCTGTCACACCTCAGTCATTTCTTGGGGATCCTATTCTTACCAAGGGCCACCAGCAGCGTCCTGGCTGCCTGAGAATCCTCGGGAATCTGTCTTGGGAACAGGCCTCTGGATAGCCGATGAACCAGGTTTTTATGCACATGGCTGCCGAGAATTCCTTGAGAGGCCTTCAGCTGAATTAACTGGAGCAAAATGTCCCGAACACCCTTATTTCCTCCCTCAGCTCTTTAAGGGTCATATTGCTTGCCTGCCAGACCTCGGGTGACATCACTAGACACCCTGGGAGTGTCCCACAGTGAGGAGCTCTGTGGTAGAAGCCACTGCAATCCAAGCCCGACTGTGTGCATGTCCACACGTGAGGCAAGCAGAAGAACACAGCCGGGCGCATCTGTTCCTGGGCCACCCAAGAGAGGCTGTGCTCATGCTGCGGACGCAGGGGTGCAGGGGCAGCCCTAGACAGGACATGGGTGTTGGACTTGAAACAAGCCTTTCTTAAACCAGCTGCTGTGAAGTTGACCCCAACTGGTGGTGACCTCATGTGTGTCAGAGTTGAACTGTGCCCCGTCGTTTCAATGGCTGGTTCTTTGGGAGGTGGATTGCCAGGCCTTTCTCCCGAGGTGCCTCTGGGTGGACTCGGTGAGCAACTGAGCCTGTTCACGGTTCGCACATCCCATCCCCTGTAGGTTTTTAGGTCATTGGTCTTCTCACACTCTTGTTGTAATTCTGAGGGGCTTTGGACAGCTGGGTCTCTTCATTGTAGCTCTCTCAACGCACTAAAAGAGTCCCCCTAGTAAATGGTTCATGACCGACTGACTGAGTTAGGAGAGGGGATGTTTTCAGCCTTCCTGATCCGATGTTTTCAAGGGTTAAGATGGTGCAGCAGTCTTGTTTTCACACCCATGCAATGGGTCCTGCAAACTGGCAAGACGGGTTGCCCAGAGGGTCCCTCCAGGAGCCCTGGTGACGGGTGGCTCTGCTGGGGGGCTGCTGATCTCAGGGTCATCCATTCAAAACCACCAGCTGCTCAGCCAGAGAAAGACAATGCTCTCTATTCCTGTACAAAGTCACAATCTCAGAAACCCCTGGGGGCAGTTCTACCCTGCCCTGTGGGATCCCCACGAGTCAAAATGGACTCTGAGTCAGAACTGACTGCGTGGCAGTGAGTGAGTCTGATGATGGAATGGTCAAAGGACTAAAGATGTGGGGAGCTTTTTGCTATATAAATCTTTACCTATTTAAATGTTTCAAGAAGTACCAAAGATTAAAACAAAATATCTTGACAAGAGGCGGTTGATTTGATTCCATGGGTCTGAAATACTCCAAATAGGCCAATGCTGAAGTCTATGAATGGCCCCCAGGGCCGGTGGGGGGAGGATATGGGGGGAGGGGGAGTTGGGTTAGGTTAAGGGGGATGAAACCATTTAGAAGTGGATAGTGATGATAGTTACACAGCTGAGTGGATGTATTTGTATTTCACTGCAGTAATTAAAAAAGATGTGCTCTAAGTGTGGTGGTAAAATCTGAGAGAGGAAAAATGCCATTAAATCAGAGAGCTGAAAGTAACCTGAGGGATTTAACCTAGAGCCGCTTCATGACGCAGACAGCTGTGTTATAGCTGAGGCAGGGGAATGCCCGTGAAAAGGATCAGACTAGCGGAGTCCCATTTAGTTGTGGCAGACCCTGAGCCAGAACTCTCGGTGCGAGGCTCTTTGATTCCTGGCACTCACAAACACTCGCCACGGAGTTTCTCAGGAAGGATCCGTCATGGAGATGGAGATGCTGACCCTCTGGTTCCCAGGTGGTCTGCTGTCGGGGCTGGGTGGCAGCTCTTGGGGACATTCCACGAGACTGCAGCGTGCCTGGCCTCACAGATGAGCTCCCAGAGCAGGACATCTCACTGCATCCTCCTCTTCCTCGGTCATGGAGGCGAGGCTTCCTGAGCGAACACAATCCAGACGACGGAAGGAGGGAGCCAAGCCCCGCCCCGCCTAATAACCCATGGGTGTGGTCTCATTACAGAGTCATCAGCTACGAGTGCTGTCCCGGATATGAAAAGGTCCCAGGCGAGAAAGGCTGCCCAGCAGGTGAGTAGCCAGGCCCTGCCTGCCCATGCGATGGGCAGCAGTCTCCACGGGGGCTGTGGATGAAGGCGGTGTTGGCATGCTCCCCAAGTGCTTACTGGCCTCTGGGCTCCAGCAAGGGGCAGAGGAAGGAAAGCTGGTCCTTCTTGGCCAAACTCTGCTCAACACACTAACTGGTGGGATAGACTCTAAGTCTGACCTCTCTGTTTTCTCACCAGATCCAGGCTCCTCAGCCTTGTTTCTGGCTGGAAGGGTTTCGAAACAGCAGGTTGACCTGGTGGCTCACCAGCTTCTGACAGCCCTGATAGGGAGCAAGTGTGATTGGCTTGATCTCTGGCTGGGGTGGGAACACCAAGCCACCCGTCCTCCTTCTGCCAATTTGTGGCCCATGGGAGCCCCATGGGAAACTGAGCCAGAGTCATCAAAGGGAACCCATGTGGCTGTGTTCAGGCCAGAGGCAGCCAGGCACACGTAGTCAAAGCCTTTCATTCGGTCTCACTAGGGCTCGTATGGGATCCCTGGTGCCATGGCGGACTGCACGTTGGGCTACTAACTGCCAGGTGAACAGTTCAAAACCACCAGCCACCCCTTGGGAGGAAGATGAGGCTTTCTGCTCCCATAAAAGAGTTACAGTTGGAAATCGCAGGGGCAGTTCTACCCTGTCCTGTAGGGTCACCATGAGTCAGAATTAGCTTGATGGCAGTGAGGAGGGAGGGACTTTTGCAGAAGAGTCTTGTAACTTGGAAATACTAGTTATTTTATCAGTCAAGAAATTAAGGCTTTTTTTTTTTTTTTTTTTAAGAAAGGGAGCAGTTTGTCGAGTGCCAGGGTCACCAGGAGGGACTGGTTACCTGTCTGGGCTGGGGCTTAGGCACTTCTTGCGTCAGTGCAAGGACAACACTGGGGACATTGGAGCTAGAAAAGGAAAAAGCCCTTTCAAAGAGGAGCTCAACCCCGCCCCCTGCGTTTGCTGCATCTTTTGGAATACACACTGATCTCACTGCCCACAGAGCAGGCTTTCTAAACTTCAGGTGATGTTTAGGGAAGAATGAGATAGTGTTTGCAAAGATACAAGGTACCTCTGGAGAGGTGTGAAACGCTTTCATTCTAATAAGGGCCTCTAGGGAAGCAGTTACAACAACTAGGTAAATCTACAAGACCAGTCTGTGGTAGGAGACTTGCTCCCAGCATGCATTCTTGCCTGCACCATCGAAATGTCTATGAACAAAGCTGTTATCTGCTATGGTCCAACTGATTACAAATGATCCATTCGATGAGTTCCAGCAGGAAGCATTGGACTTACTATTTAAGGTGCGGGTGACAAGCATGAAGTCCCTTGTTAATAGATTGGCTTTGGGGCCCCCTAAACATTTCCTCCCCCATCTTCATCCAAAGAGGAAGGCGTGATCTGGTTGGGGTGAGACCCCCACAATCCCCTTCCTCTCTGTTCTCTGCCCTTGCAGCCCTCCCGCTCTCAAACCTTTATGAGACCCTGGGAGTTGTCGGGTCGACCACCACTCAGCTGTACACGGACCGCACAGAGAAGCTCAGGCCGGAGATGGGAGGACCCGGCAGCTTCACCATCTTCGCCCCCAGCAATGAGGCCTGGGCTTCCTTGTCGGCTGTGAGATAACCTCCTTCTGCCCCAGGGACCCTTATTGGGAACTTCCTTGCTTCCCAGAAGGGTGGGCTGGTGGGTGTGAAGAATGGGGCTTCTGTCAGTGTTCTCCTGATTTCCTGTTGTTCCCAGAAACCTCTTCCGTTACTTCTTAAACAAAGCCATGAACTTGAATTAAAATACACCTCACCAGGGTGCTTCCAAGGAGCCCTGATGGCATAGTGGTGACTCATTGGGCTACTAACCGTAAGGTCTGCAGTTCAAGACCGCCAGTGGCTCTATGGCAGAAAGACAGGGCTTTCTCCTCCCATAAAGAGTGAGTCTCAGAAACTCACAAGGGCAATTCTCCCTGCCCTATAGGGTTGCTGTGAGTTGGAGTTGACTCGATGGCAGTGACCGAGTTTGAGATGTTGCTTCAAGGCCCTGTTAGTTCCGTGGGACAGGCAGACCTTGCTGCGTCCTGGGGAAAGACCCTTGGCCGACTGGGGGCTGGGGTCCATTGCGGCTTCAGAGGCATGGGTTCAGGAGCCACTCCATTGTCACGCTGTGCTTCCTTCTAGGAAGTACTGGACTCCCTGGTGAGCAATGTCAACATCGAGCTGCTCAATGCGCTTCGGTACCACATGGTGGACAGACGGGTCCTGACGGATGAGCTGAAACATGGCATGTCGCTCACCTCTATGTACCAGAATTCAGACATTCAGATCCACCATTATCCCAATGGGGTAAGGGAATCTCCACTGACTCCTTCCTCTGCGTCTTTGTGCCTGCTACTCCTTGGCCCTCCAGTCCCATAGGCATGAGCCCCACCCCTGCTGCTGTGTTCAGAAACACGGTTCCTACTTACTGCTTTCTCTCCCAGGAGCCCTGAGGCTGTGCCTGTGATGTGTTCATGGCTTCTCCTTGCTTCTTCTCTGGCAGATCGTAACTGTCAACTGTGCTCGGCTGCTGAAAGCCGACCACCACGCCACCAATGGTGTGGTCCACCTCATCGATAAGGTCATCTCCACCATCAGCAGCAACATCCAGCAGATTATTGAGATTGAGGACACCTTCGAGACCCTCCGGGTGAGGCACAGAGCGTTGCTCACCCAGGCTCAGATGGGACCACGTCCGATGCGGGAGCAGTAGACACTGTCTCATAGAGCAAGTTTCTCCAAAGGCGCATGCCAACCCAACCCCCTAGTGGCTCTGTATAGGGTTTTCAGGACTAGCTCAGTAAGGCCCAGGCAGCTGCATCTTTTTCCCGAGGAGCAGCTGGTGGGTTTCAACCACTCACCTTGTGGTTAGTAGCTCCCCACCTCCCTCACCCATGAGCCCATCAGCATGACGAAGGAGCCCTGGTGACTTCGTGGTTACACAGTGGGCTGCCAACTTGCACGGTCAGCCGTGAGAAACCACCAGCCACTCCACGGGTGAAAGAAGAGATGTTCTACTCTCTTACCGTCTCGGAAATCCAGTAGGGCGTCTCTACTCGGTGGGTCTCTCTATGGCAGCAACGTTGGAAACATGGAGAAGCCACTAACTAGTTACTCGGCTTGGCCACAAGGAAACCTCATTGTCATTACCTGTGAACGCCCCTCTGGCCGGCTTCTCTCTTGGAAAGTGTTCTTCCCTTGACTCCCTGTAGAACAGAGCTCCGGGGGTTGCAGCTGCAGCTGGACCGAGTCCTCAGCGCCCTGGGCTGCCTGGCTCTGCACTGTCCGTTCCAGAGAGAGGAGGGCCCTTCCTTCCAGAATAGAAGGCCTCTGGGGTTGCATGATGCCTCAGGACCACACACCACACACCACACACCCCACCCCCAACCTCTCCCAGCCCTCGGCATATTCCTCTGGGGCCCAGACCAGCAGAGCAGTCCCTATTGTGGGTGCAGGAAGCTGGGGGTGGATTTCTGGCCTAGCATCTGGCCGCTCTGTGACCACAAGAATACGGTTCCTTCCCCTGCCAGCAGGCCTGGGTCTTCCAACTGGAGGAGCAAGCAGGCATTCCTCAGGAGGAGGAAGTGGACACAGGGTTTTTGCCCTGAATCAAAAAGAATGTTCCAACCACAAAGGCGGCTCCGTGGGGTGGGGTGGTTCTTCCCCTGGAGATCCCTAACACAGAAAGACAAACACCCCCAGACTGCCTACTATTACTGTGGCGTCAGGAGGTGGCAGGCAGCTCTGAGCCCTCTCTGGAGGGCCCTGCAGACCCTGGCTCTCTAAACTCTCTCCCTATCTCTGCACTGCTCCCAAGTCACTCGGAGGTCAGGGGTCTGCAAGGGAATGTCCTCCTGCCACGTGAGTGGCACGTGTGTTACTGAGCAGTTGTTGAGCCCCTGGGGTACCTGCTTCTCCAAGTTTTCCACTGCCGTAAGCTCGCTTCCAGCTCTTAGTGACCCATGGGACAGAGCAGAACTGCTGCCCTGGGTTTCTGAGACTTTCGATCTTCACAGGAGCAGACAACCTCCTCTTTCTCCCATGAAACAACTGGTGGGTTCAAACCACTGACCTTGTGGGTTGACAGCTCAATGGGTAGCCAGCCCAGTAGGCCAGGGCTCCTCAGAATGTTTAGATCTGATGAATATCCCTTCTTCCCCTTTGACCTCCCTAACTCCCATTATGTCTTCTTCCAACACCTGTGGATCAGGCACCCCCTACTTCCTGGGCATTCTTCTGTGTAGGAGGAGCCCTGGTAGCATCCTGGGCTATATGGTGGGCAGCTTACCTCAAGGTCTGCAGTCTAAAACCAGCGGTCAATCCACAGAACAAAGAGGAGACTTTCTACTTCCACAAAGAGTTGAGACAGAGTGTCAGAAACCCACAAGGGGCAGTTCCACCCTCCAAGGGTTGCCAAGGTCAGAAATGACTCATTGGCAGGGAGTGAGTTAGTCTGTGTGCTGGAAACATAGAGGTGAGTAAATCGAGCTAATCGGGGACCTCATGGAGTTGATCTCCTGTCCAGGGTGACAGACAATACACACAGAAACCAGACCAGCCACCACAGGTGGTAAGAAACATCAGAGAGTGAGCACGTGCTAAGCAGGGGACACCAAATGGGACTGAGTGGTGAGGACTGTCGGGAGAGAGAATATTGAGCGGAGGTCTAAATAATGCCAATGGGCCAGGCATACACCATGGTGGGACAAGAGCACAGGAGAGGGCCTGAGAGTGAGGAAACGGCTCGGCCAGGGGCAGGGACAGCAAGCAGAGGCCCATGTGGCCAGGGGAGGAGAGGGCAGGCTTGTAGACCAATGGCTTGGTCTCTTCCTGAGAGTAGTCAGAAGCCATTGCTGCTTGTCAAGGGTCTTCTGTGGAGAACTCATTCTGCAAATGTGATCTTTAATCTCCAGGGGCCCACAGAGATCATTCTGAGGGGGCATCGCCTCAAAATGTTTATGGGGAAATTCCATGAGCTCTGGATTCCATTTCTCTACAAATACCTTCTTGTAGCAGTGAGAGGGCAGCAGGTAGTGATAATAAGGCATCCTGGGAGAGGTGGCATTTATTAAAGGGCCTAAAGGACGGTTAGAGAAGCAGGAGGGAAGGACGGAAGAGCAGCAGGGCTAAGCTCTAGAGGCAGATCCATCCGTGTGGCAAGCACTCAGAGGAGGCAAGGCCCTGAGGCTGTGCTAGGAGGGCAGCACTGGTTGGGTTTTCCATCTTGGAACACCTTGAGTCCTTTGGGGAATGGTGAGATAGAGACAGACAGAGAGAGAGAAGCTATCATAAAAGAATCCCAGGGGCTGCTTGGAGCATTCCACCCTCTCTACTTTGCCCCACAGGCTGCTGTGGCTGCATCTGGACTCAACACCCTGTTGGAAAGTGAGGGCCAGTTCACACTCCTGGCCCCGACCAATGAGGCCTTCGAGAAGATCCCGGCTGAGACCTTGAATCGGATCCTGGGGGACCCAGAGGCCCTAAAAGGTGAGCCCCCCTTGCCTCTTGCTGCAGCCAGACAAGGCCCAAAGCCCATGGGAGCGCAGGGTGGATGTGTCACGTGCCAAAAGGTGACTCAGCATATCCACCACACAAGTAGCTTGCGGGCCAGCCCACCCCGTGCTCTTCACTGGCTGTGTCTCGGCAGAGGCTAAAGCAGAGCCCAGCCCTGGCCCTGAGGGGCAGGTGTGCGTGGAATCTAACAGACTTTGTCTAGGGACCCAGCTGAGCTGAAAGAGGGGCCAGGCCGAGGCCCAGGGCCAAAGAAAGCCCTAACCAGACATCAAAGAGCTAAAGGTGCAAGGATCAAAGCCAGAGCAAGGTGATAGGAGGCTGAGTAACATGTCCTTGAAAAGGAATCCCTGGCAAGCCTTTAACCCCTCCTCTGCCCTGTCTCTCAGGGGCAGGGGTGTCTTCATTGATCATCCAAAATTGGTGCTGAAAACTGCTACCAGTCCACTCTTGTCTCTCCGGTGTGGCCACCCAGCCCTCACGGAGCTCTGAGTTAGACCGAGCGCTGACGGTTGCTGGCATAGGTTTGGGGCAGGTGGGGAGGGGGAGAAGGGGGCACGGCACAGGTTGCAAAATGCATTAGGAGAAGCTAGGGGGCCAGGCTCCGTCCAGCCCTCCACCCTGCCCGCTCCAACTCCAGGGCCTCTGCTGGGTGGTTGGCATTACCGATCCTGGCAGTGGAGCAAGGGCTAACCGGCTGTCTGTGATCTCTGAACCCCTGGGAAGTGGAGTGGGCCCCAGGTTCCCTCTGTAATCCCCACCACACTTTTCCTCCCCAAGGTAATCCTGGAGTGACTTCATTTCTCTGGACCCATTCACGTCTGCCTCTATAATGTCCTACATGAAGTCCCTAATGCATTTAGACACCCCGTAAATTTCCATTTTGATTGTCTTCTTTCCAGTCACATGGGGATGGGAAGGGGCACGTTTCTGAGCAGGGAGGAGGAACTAGTGTCTCGCAGAGGTGTGTGTGTGTGTGTGTGTGTGTGGGAGTGGGGGGGACTGAGACCCCACCCGGCAACGCAGTGCAGCCTTTGCCTCCAAGGAAGTTAAAGTCTAGTGGGAAGGACAGGCTCAGAGCAGGTCGTTGGGACCTGAGTGAGTGGGTGCAGGGACAGGTACTCCCCCACCTCCCGGGGGCATGGAGGCAGGGACTGGGGCACACACAGCCTGAGAGGTCCCAAGGCTTCCTGGAAGTGAGACCAAGGTGCCAGTCGGCTTGTTTTACTTTTCTTTGAGAGTTGATGTGCCCCTGCAAACACATTTTTGTAACCTTTATGGGCAAAAAGACTCATCCTGGGGAACCAGTTAGCTCAAAGCAAGGGCCCTCTGTCTCTTGGGCTGGGGCCGCTAGACTTGAAGGAAGAGGACTTCGATTCCTCCGGGGGCCTTTTCCTTGCCGTCACTCGCAGCTTGGCACACGGACAAGGGAGCAGCGTTGGGCTAGTGTGCCCTGTTTGATGACTGGCACCCAGCCATCACCCTCCCTCCACCCCTCCCGGCCCTCAGCTTTCTTGGTCGTGGCTCTAATCCCCCAGGCCTAGACTTCCCTAGCAGGAGCCGCTTGCACCTGGTGGGTTCTGGTCCGTGCTGGCTTTGGAAGCCACTCACCACGGTGGCTGGTGTGGGAGCCGGCTGACTGACGGGGCAGTTTTGGTTCCCACCCTGGAGGTGACGGGGCAGTTTTGGTTCCCACCCTGGAGGTGAATTGAAACTCAGCCTCTCTGGTGAGAACTTAAGGCAAAGGGCCTTGGAGAGTGTGGGGAGCCGCAGCTTGGGAACTGGCTCTGCCTGGGCGGGTGGGAGGCCCAGGCTCTTTGGTTGGTCCTTGTGGCTTGGGACTAGGGGCACATCCTCTTTGATTGGTCCTGACTGCTTCCTGAGTCTGGCTTCTCAGAGTCTCTGAGCTGATGAAACCCATTGCCGTCCAGCCGATTCTTGCCTCCCCCCCCTCGAGGACTGGTCCCACGAGGTCTCCATGGAAGGCTCTCTCACTAATCGGAATCTGCCCTTGGCTGCAGTCCTGCGCTTTGCCTGCCAGGTTTCATACCTTTATTGAGAGCAGTGTATAAAAGGTCTCATGGTCAGCTCATCGGAGTTTCCCCCTTAGGCCTGAAGAACATAGGCACCTTCAAGTTCAGATACGAATAAACTCATGGCAACCATTTTTTGAGCATCTGCCCTGCAGTCAAACACTGTGCTGTAGGTCTCCCGTTCAGAATTTCCATTCAGCCTGGCAACAGCCCTCAGAGGCAAATGCCATTTTACTCCACCACACTCAGGAGACAGCTGAGACTCCAAGTGATTAATTCAGTAACTTGCCCAAGGTCCCCAGCTGGCAAGTTCCCAGGCTTCAGTTCAGACGCAGGCCGTCTGACCACACAGCCCCGGCGAGTTTATGAGGGCAGCAGGCAGCAGCAGGATCCAGACGAGCATCCTCCCAGCTGGCACCCAGGGTCAGCCCGGATTCAGCTGTGCCCTGTTTGGCCCCCAGACCTCCTGAACAACCACATCCTGAAGTCGGCCATGTGTGCCGAAGCCATCGTGGCTGGGATGTCCATGGAGACCCTGGAGGGCACCACACTGGAGGTGGGCTGCAGTGGAGACATGCTCACCATCAACGGGAAGGCCATCATCTCCAACAAAGACACGCTGGCCACCAATGGCGTGATCCACTACATCGACGAGCTGCTTATCCCAGACTCGGGTATGTTGGGCAGGCTCTGTGGGCCGGGCTGGCCCCTCTCGGGCCCCGGTCTCCTTGGCCATTCGTGGTGGCTGGACTGGAGGGAATTCAGGGGCACGTGAGGTTGCTTCCCCATCTAGGGGAGAAAGACGAGGCTTTCTGTTCCCATAACTCAAAAGGAGAAAGACAGGGATTTACAAGAGGTACAGTTTATAAACCCTCAGGGGCAGTTCGACCCTGTCCTATAGGGTCACTGTGAGTTGGCATTGACTCAAGGGCAGTGATTCAAGTCCTTGTCTAGACTCAGCTCAAAGCCTCTCAGGAGTGTCGCCCTGGGCCCTGTGGGTTTCAGCCAGGTTGTGGAGAATGGTAAGCTTCAGGCATGGAAGTCCAGACATTATCTTGGTGGCAGTGGGGGGCCACGGGAAGTGTCGTGGAGGGAGGAACTCGCTCACAGAGTCCTTTCCCAAGATCTGTCTGTCTGCTCTGTTTGCCCATAGAGGGCCATCAGCTGGCCCGAGAGTGTTTGCACTCTCGGGTATGCCCAACCCACTGGGTCACTGCCCCAGAGAGAAATGACTAACTGAACTTCAGCTGGTGTTTCATTCTGCATACAGGCCCCATCCCAGAATTTGAGGCAGGTGTGCTACCCAGAAGTAGAAGGACATAAAAAAAAAAAGGAAAAAACCCACCTTTCGTTCTATGGGTGCCATTGGCACTGTTGGCCATTCACGAGCTACGGCAGCCTTCCTTCCCCTCCAGTCTTAGGTGGATACTGGCCAAGCTGCCCCTGGGGCTTGGGAACAGCACCTGGGCCCTCCCCCTCCCTCTCCTCTGCCCAGCTGGACCATACTTCCCACTCCTGTCCAGCTGAGTTTTCTGGGCTACTGTCCCCCTGATGACAAACCTGCAGTACCCCAGCAGCTGCCGGCAGAGCTGTTGACTCACGAGATAACATTCCTGCTGATGAATGTCATGCACTCGGGTGCCTGGAGGTAATGAAAACAGGCTTGTAACTTGTGAAACCTCTTCTCCTGCCGTGTAGCCAAGACGCTGTTTGAGTTGGCTGCCGAGTCTGATGTCTCCACAGCCGTTGACCTTTTCAGACAAGCTGGCCTGGGCACGCATCTCTCTGGAAACGAGCAGTTGACGCTCCTGGCCCCCCTGAACTCTGTGTTCAAAGGTACGTGGATGGGGGAAGCACTGTGGTTGGCTGGCCAGTGAGGACTTCCACCCCACCCACTGCCACCTCCACCATCCCCTCCCCAATTTATAGCCCCCTCTGTCACGGACGCCCACGCTTCCAGCCCAGCCCAGCCCAGCCCAGCCCAGAAAGCGGTGTGAATTTATCCGAAACCGCTGAGCATCTGGTGTTGCACTTGGCAGCGCAGATGAAGCGTGTGGGGCCCCGTCCCTCCGTTCCTCCGCATGCCAAGGCCTGCGCCTGTCAGGAGAGGGGTGCCGGCCCTCCCTTTCTGTGTGCAGGACACCACACAGAAGCCAGAGGGAGACCAGTGCTGAGCTGTGACTCCCAACAAAGCAGAGAGCGTGGCCTGGTCATGGCCCTGCCTCCCCTCCCCATTGAAGGCCCTGCCCTCCCTCCCACCACACCTTCTGTTATCTGGACCTTTTCTTGTCTTTTCACCGAGAGATGCCAGATGTTAAGAGATGCTTGGCAGCCTTCCTTAATTTCTCAATCTCCCCAACCAAACTCAAGCAGGGACCCCTTTTTACCGACCCCGTCTCCCAGACCATTGTCTTCATTTCCGGTTCGGTCCCCTCTAAGCCTGAACACCCCTTCTCTAGCAGATGACACCCCTACCATCGATGACTCCACAAAGGATTTGCTTCTGAACCACGTGATTAAAAACCAGCTGGCCTCCAAGAATCTGTACCACGGACAGACCCTGGATACTCTGGGCGGCAAAAAACTGAGAGTGTTCGTTTATCGGAATGTAAGTTCTCCTTCCTACATCCTGCTCTGCCCTGCAGCCAGATGAGACCCCCACCCCCACCCCCGGGGAGGCACGGAGGCCTAAGTGCCTGGCTACTTAAGGGGGAGGTTCGCTGTTCAAGCCCACCCAGAGGTTCCCTGGAAGAGAGGTCTGGTGCCGTGAGAACCCCATGGAGCGCAGTTCCGCTCTGCTCAAGTGGGGTCACCGGGAGCCCAAATCAGCCCAGCAGCATGTGGCTCTCCTTCACTCCTCGCTGAGAAATGAGAGTGGTGTTCGCGCGAAAAGGGTTTGCAGCCCGCAGGGGCTCACGTGAGACCCGGCATCCAGCAAAGAAAAACGTCCAAGCCCACTGCCATCCTGTCTGTCCCAGGAGTGTACAACTTTACCCATGTTGACAGCCTCATGGCTGGTGGGTTTGAACTGCCTCGGTTTCCAACAAGAAGGAAATTATTTCTAGGAAGCCTGTCTGATCCCCACATGGGATGTTGCAGGAAGATCCAAGCTCCCTGTGTGACCGGGATGGCTAAGCAGCAGTGGGCTCTGAGAAGGGAGAGGAGGGGTCGGGGGTGTGAGTCCTACCGAGCGTCTGTGCTGAGAAACTGCTGAGCAGATGGCCACACAGCCCCTCTCAGTCCCGTCTCTCCATTCTCTTCTCTAACTTCAAACCCAGCATTGCCCTGGAGTGTCAGGCAAGAAGCACCACACAGCATGACCCTTGCCTGAGACCAGCCGGTGCCTTCGGGCTCTACCCAGTGAGAGCCATCTGGTCATTGCATCCTTAGGCTCAGTCTGTTGATGATGATTGAGGGACCTCCTGCAGTGTAGTGGCCCCTTCACAGGGGTTTGCTCTGACTGCCCGGGGACCTCTGCGATGTTCCTTCCTTAAGGATGCTCGCTGTGCCTCCCTTTTCTTTCCGGGAGAAAGCACAGCACTTTTTGCTAGCCTTACCCACCCACCCCAATATAGCATCATTGACGTGTGTGGCCCACACCAGGAACATGACCGGCTGTTCTCTGCCCCACTTCTGAGCAGAGCCTGTGTATCGAGAATAGCTGCATCGCTGCCCATGACAAAAGGGGGCGGTACGGGACCCTCTTCACCATGGACCGGGTGCTGACCCCCCCAATGGGGACCGTCATGGATGTCCTGAAGGGGGACCACCGCTTTAGGTAACTGGCTCCACCCCAGGGAAGGGATTTTGCCTAGTGTCGATGCTGGGACTGGACACTGGGCTTGGCTATGGGTCAAGTTCAAGTACACCCATCACCAGGGTTCACAGTGCCCTGGTGCCACCGTCCATGCAGGCTTGGGGTGTGATAGGATGAGGGTCACTTGGAGGGTTTAACAGGGAGCAAGGGTTACTTCTGGGAGTGCGGTGCTCACAGCCATGGGAACAGAGGGAGGGACGCTGTATTTATACCTGAGGGATAGTAAAAAGCCTCTCTCTCTCTCTCTCTCTGTCTGTCTCTCTCCTGCGGTCCTAGTTGAGCAGCATACTCGTGGTATTTATGAACTAGTCTCCTGCTCTCTGTGCAATGTTTGCTTACTGGTGTTGACATCGCTTGCCCCTCTCCAAAGAGTCCCCGTGTTTGTGTGTCTCCTTGTCCTGTGCTCTCTCCATTTCAGACTGTCTCACTCACTGCTCGGGGCTGTCACCTTGAATGTGCTGGCCTGTGACTGAATCTACCTGCCTCCCGCACACAGGACCTGGGAAGCCACCACACCTTGTCCTTCTGGGGCCCCGTGGCTCAGCTGGGGGCTGGGTCAGCCATGCCCCCGAGGGCTCCCTTTCCTCCTCCTAACTTCTGGCTGTCAAACTGCACTTAGCAGACGTGTCCCCTCTACAAGTGGGGAGGGTGTGAGGACCTGGAAGGTGTGCAGGTCTCAGCAACCTGGGCTCTGAGCACCCAGGGGTGAGGTGTTGGGTGGCAGTGCCCTGCCACAAGCAATGACTTTTCTGGGTATGCCTCCCCAGCATGCTGGTTGCCGCCATCCAGACTGCGGGGCTGACCGAGACCCTCCATCGGGAAGGGGTCTACACAGTCTTTGCTCCCACAAATGAAGCCTTCCAAGCCATGCCACCAGAAGAACTGAACAAACTCTTGGGTAAGGACCGGCCCAAGTACGTTTTCCAACTGTTATGAAATAGCTGTGGCTGCCCAGGTCCCGGGAGGAAGTGCGCTGCCCAGGGTTTGACAGAAAGGAGTCCGATAACAAGACAGCTTGTTGATCGAGGTGTGGACAGGGTGCAGGAGACGGCAAGGGGTGACAACACCCAGGAACTAGCAGCCTGTAGCAGCCCCGGGCCTGGGAGGGAGGGCGGCAGTCAGGGGAGGACAGCGGCCAGAGTCAGATGCAGTTCTATCCAGAACCATGGCACTGAAGCCATTGTGTGCCCCTATCTCCATCCCCATCCCCAGCTGCCTCGGGGGCCTACAATTCCCTGATGAAGGGATGACAACAGAGCCTGGATAACATGGTTCAAAGAGCTCAGCTTCCCAGGGTGCCAAGCTGGGTAGCAAAGAGCAAGAAAGGGGTTGAGGGTGTCCCACAACCCAGCAAGTCCCAGGGTCTGTTCCCCTCAGGGGACCAGTGGGAGCAACAATGAGGAAGCCATGTCCCCTGCATGAAACGTCCCTCAGGCTAAATGCTTTACAGAGAAGCTGAATGTGGCCCTCAGAGATTCAACAGAGGGCCGCCGGCCAACCAGCTTGGCTCCCCAACTCACCTGGCCAACCCCAAACTAAACTCACTCACTGCCCTGAGTCAGTGCTGACTCAGAGCAACCCCTCTCTGTGAGTTTCCGAGGGAGGCAGTGGCTGTTTACCGGAATAGAAAGCCCTGTCTCCCTCCTGCAGAGATGTGGGTGGTTTCGAACTGTCAGCCTTGCGGACCAAAGCCCAAGGAGTAATAATCACTACAGCTCCAAGAGGCTGGTGAATTTACCAGCAGATCGAGCTCTGGCAAGCTGCTTCACCTCTCCAGGCCTCAGTTTCCCCATTCACAACCTGAGGATGCTGAGAAGACCTTTGTCATTGTTTCAAGAGAACTAAATGGCATGGTGCTGGCAGTGGGGCGAGGTGGGGCCTGGGGCCTTTAGCTCCAATGCAGACCCCTAAGGGCCATTTCCACTCACTGTGGAAAGGTGGGCCCAGGGAGTAGGGCAGATCTTGGAGGAACCTGGGGCCCACACCACCTACGCCTCCCTTCCTGCCCCCGTGCGAGGAGAATAGACAGCTAGGGTTGCAGGCAGCTCAGAGCTGAATTTGTGTCTGGTTTAATCGTCTCTGCTGCTAAATGATTAGCCGGTGTCTATGGCGCCGATGCATATTGCCGACAAGAGGGGAGAAGTTCATTCTGAACATAAACCTTGCCGTGGGATTGCTCAAGGTGGGCTGAGCCTGCCTTCCTTCTATTTCATTGTCGGTCAGGTAGGAGCACAGTCCCCGGGATGGTGGGAGTGTGTGTGTGTGGGGGGGGGGGGGCAGTGGGGGTGATAACGATTAACGGAAAGTTTGGCAGTTGGAGTCCACCCAGAGAAAAACCTGAAGATCACCACCCAAAAAGGAAAAAAGCAACCAGCCGTCCAAAGCCCGACGGAACACAGTTCTACTGAAACATACCTGGGGTGCCCAGGGGTCAGAATCAACGTGGTGGCCAGTGGTTCTGCTGGTGTGTAGGAGATGAGGAACAGCACGGGGAACATTCCCCAGATAGCCCTGAATCAGGCCTGCTGGGTGCAGATGGGGCCAGCCGTACCAGATCTCTAGAGAAGGAGGTTTTTTGTCCCCCATGGCTGAAGTGACTCCAGACCTTCTGGAGATGTGTTTGTGGATGTTTTTGGAAAGGGTACCCTTGTGAGTTGACTGCCGATGAAACACTTGGTGGCACCATTCATGGCACTAATGCGAGTGTGTCACCAGCCAAGTGAACAATGCTCCAGAAGGCTCTGAAGCTTAACTCTGGTCTCAGTTTCAAGATGCTGGATAGAGCTCTCCGTAAGCCCCAGGGGAAATTCCACCATCCGACTGGAAGTGTAAGCTTGTGAGGCAGCCTCATTGGGCAGGAGAGCTTTCAAAAGTGCCTCCCACACTTAATTCAGGAAATGCCTGTCCACCTTTATGAGCAATGGGATGCTCTTCCCATCGGGGGAGGGTGGAGACACTGATGCCGGCTGGAAGGAATGTCGAGGTGAGACACAGTGAGTGCACCCCCTCGGCTCTGACCTCATCAGCTCCGCGGCTCCTCCAGACGGCAGCTGTTGAGTCTCATGTGAGTTGGCCCTTCAGGAAACAGCCATCTCAAACAAGCGCTGCCTTTGGTAGAATGTGTAAATATGTCACCGCAGTGTCGGCACATTGGGAGCCACGCTGGTAATGACACATCCTGGTAATGACACATCCCAGATGCTGACTGGGGAAAGATCCCTGGCTTTCCCAGCAAATAGTTAGCTCACGGAAACACGAGTCAAGCTCACAGAGGGGTATGGATTAACTCCTCAGCTGCCAGGGCACTCAGCATGGCTGAGCACAGCTAGCCAGCATTTGAGGGGGCACCGTCATGGCAGCCACGGACCACGATGCCAGGCGTGGTGGGTCACAGGCTGAGCACAGGTGGGTGCCCAGAACTGACTGCTAGCAGGCAGGGAGTTCTCCGTCGCACTTCACTGAGCCCTCCTTGACCCTGCCAGTCACCGGCCGTGGGATTAACTCTGCGGGCTCTTTCTCAGGAAATGCCAAGGAACTTGCCAACATCCTGAAATACCACATTGGCGACGAAATCCTGGTTAGCGGAGGCATCGGGGCCCTGGTGCGGCTGAAGTCTCTCCAGGGCGACAAGCTGGAAGTCAGCTCGGTGAGTGTGCCCTGCCACCCTGGGGTCAAGGTGGAGCTGACCCCCAGCCTGGTGCTAGATACAGACCGCTGTCCGTGCAGACTCTGAATGCATTTCATCCACCAAACCAGTTGCCATGGAGTTCATTCCAACTCTTGGTAACCGCATGTGCGTACGTCAGGGTAGAATTGGACCCCAGACGGTCTTCAGTGTCACACAGAGCAAAAGGACCTACAGGGAAACTGAGTGAGATTGCCGTTAGATGTAAGAACTTCCAGATTTGCAAGAGCCTACAGCACATGGGTTGGCCTCTGCGAGAGGCTGTTAGATCCTCGTTATCTTAAGAAGGGAATGGTCATTGCCCTCACGTCAATTGTAACAGGCAATTGACCACGGATCCCCAGAGAACAGTGCCCTTTCTGTACCGAACTCCAGACTCTGGGGTTCACTGAGCGGAACCAGACCCTCTCGAGAGGCTCTGTCCATTCACCAGAACGTGGCCTGTGAGCCTCTCCTTGGTCTGCCTGTTGCTAAGACACAATCTGCTTTGGAGCTATGCTTAGTGGGTCCCCCTAGGAGAGAACAGAGAGCCGGCCCACTTCTGGGGTCCTGCCGGAGACCTCACTGTGTCCATCACTGACCATCCTGTGCACCAGGGGCCAGTCTCTGCCCTGTCTCTTCCTGCTCTCTCCTGGCCACCAGCTGTGTCATTGTTGATCAGCATCAGTAGCTGGGAAGACCTGCCAGCCCCTGGAAGCTCTCCCAGCATCTAGGGGCGGGGGCCGCAGTCCTGTCTATTGCAGGCTTCCGTTCTCCGTCCCTCCCTTGAGTGCAGGGTATGGATCTGAAGTAGCTTTCCTTCGGAGGGTAGAAATAGTCTGTGGGGCTCATGGTGCCATGGGAAGAGCCCTGCACACAGAGCTGGAGGCCTGACTTCTGCCCTAGCTGTCCCACCCAAGGAGCGTTCTCTTCTGTTAAATGGGTCACTTTCACCTGCCCTCCTCACCAGCCGTGTTGCGAGGGTGAGGTGAAGTCCCATCTGAGAACCTGGTGTGATTGTGATGCGCTGAGTCCACACCCAGGGCAAGAGCGAGCCCCTCCCTACACACACTGAAAGTCTGTTGAGGGTCAGTGTTTCCTTCAGCAGATTATACGGATACTTAACACAGGACCTGACATAAATAAGTGTTTGGGTAAATAAACACGCTGTGCATTCAGTGGTCACTGTCTCTGCTTCCTTTAGAAAAACAATGCAGTGTGTGTCAACAAAGAGCCCGTTGCTGAAACTGACATCATGGCCACCAATGGTGTGGTCTATGCCATCACCAGTGTTCTGCAGCCTCCAGGTGAGTGACTACCTGGCCCCAAAGCACTGTTTCTCTCCCGGTCCACACCTGCTTCTTCTCCACAGGTGGCAGCTGGTGCTCAGACTGTGCCTCTAGGCATCCCTGTGGCTGATGGAAAAGTGAGGGTCCATTACAACCGACAAAGTAAACCTGAGATGTGCAAATCCCAGGGACAAGCAGATGGAGTCTGGGCCCCCACTTAACTCTAGCCCCGATTCAATAACAGTTCTGATAACATGGCCCTGCTCAATTCTCACCTTTATGAAATGATCATGAAGATCAGGGTGCTCCAGCAAGGTCTGGTGAAGAAAGTAGATGGTGCCCAGTTATCCATTGGAATCATGACTGGGGTCTTAAAGGCTTGTCATAAAACAAGTAGCCATCTAAGCTAGGAGTCAACTAAGTCCACATGGAAGAAGCATGCTTGTGTGATCCAAAGAGGACAATTGCATATTGAAATATGACACAGGGAAAAGTATCAGAACTAAAATTATGAAAACCCAATTTGTAGAGGACAGTGGGAGCCCAAAACCCATCTGCAGAGGATCTAGTCAGACTGGGCCACTGGCGGATCTGCTCTAGCCACAGGCCAGAGTCTTGAACAGACTTGCTATTAGGTGGAGACCGTTGTAATCTTGATTATACTGGATACTGGGCAGTTGACCTCCCTATAGGCCCATAGCAACCTTATGCACCACAGAACAAAACCCTGCCCAGTCCTGTGCCATCCTCACATTTGCTCCTATGCCTGAGCCCACGGAGGCAGCAGTGTCAATCCACCTCCTCGGGGCCTTCCAGTCCTTTGCTGCCCCTCCCTTTTAACAAGCATCATGTCCTTCTCCAGAGACTGGTCTCTCCTGACAGTATGGCCACAGTATGGCAGATGAAGTTTGGCCATCCTAACCTCTGAGGAGCACTCTGGCTGTACTTCTTCCGACACAGATCTGCTTGTCCTTTTAGCAGTTCATGGTACTGTCAGTCTTCTTCTCCAGCACCATCATTCAAATGCATCCATTCTTCTCCAGTCTTCCTTATTCAGTGTCCAACTTTCACATGCAGATGATGCAACGGAGGATACCTGGCTTGGGTCAGGCACACTTTAGTCCTCAAAGTAACATCCTTGCTCTTCGGTACTCTAAGGACGGTTTGTGCAGTGGGTTTACCTACTGCAACACATCATTTGACTTCGAGGTTTGTTGCAGGTGTCTCACAACAAAAACCAGCCCACTGCTGTCGTGTCCATTGTGACTCTTAACGCCATCGGACAGGATAGCGCTGCTCTGTAGGGTTCCCGGGGCTGTAAATCTTCACAGAAGCCAACGGCCTCAGCTTTCTCGCTAGGAGTATACTGGTGGGTTTGAACTGCTGACCTTAGGGTTGTCGGTCCAGTATTATCACCAGGGCCCCTCCCATTGAAACATAGCCCAGTTGTTTATACACATATGGATGCTGGGAGTGTGGTTCCAAGCATTGCCTATAGAGATCCCCACCTGCAGTGTGCTCGATTCCAACTCTTAACCACACTGGAGGACAGTGTAAACTGGCCCCATCGCGTTTTCTGTGATCCAATCTGTACGAAAGGGGCCCGCTGGTGTAATGGTTAGTGCGGCTGCCAACCAAGGGATCAGTCGTTCAACCCCCTGAGAACAGACCTGTGATCTGCTCCCGTAGAGGTGACAGCTTAAGAAAGGAACCCTATGGGGTCCTTTTGTTCTGCCCTATGAAGGGGCCCTTCGGGCACGGTGGGTTGCCAATTGGTCAGCTGTTCAAAACCACCAGCCGCTCCTCAGGAGAAAGATGAGGCTGTGAAGAGTCACCGTCTCGGAAACCCACCTGGGCAGTACTACCCTGTCCGATAGGGCTGCTGGGAGTCGGACTGGACTCGGTGGCCGTGAGGTGCCATGGGGTCGGGCTGAGTCAGAATTGGCCCTGTGGCGCACGACAGCAATCTTTGCTGGTCATCTCCTCCGCTGGAGCGGCTGGTGGGTGCAAATGACGGATCGTCGGTGCCATGGTCCCACAGG